TGATGTTACCATTCAAAGAGCAAAATAGACTGATAGATTTTAATGTAACAGAGTATGAAAAATTTCACTGATATGGTTTCAAATTCTACATTTCAACTAACTTTTAAGAGTCGAGTTTTAGGGTTTTAGCAATGAAGAACATCCACAATTATCTGCCCTCTCTTTTTCAACTACATATTGTGTGAGGCTAGATATTCTTCATATACTTCAACCCAAACACTCTATCACTATGGATTGAATACAGAAGCAGATATGAGAATCTAGTTGTCTTTTATTCAGCCAGACATTAAAAAGACTTGCAAAAATGTAAGAGTGCCACTCTTCTCACTGATTTATTTTGTTTTGGGAAACAGAGTTACTTTTCATAAAAAATATTTATTAACATAGAATGGGCTTATTTTTTTACATGAATTAGTAATTTAAAAATGTTTTGTTTTCATTTTGAATATGGTAAATATCAATAGATATAATCCACATAAGCAAAAGCTGATTGAAGTCTTAGATAATTTTTAAGAGTGTAAAGGGGTCCTGGGACCCAAAATTTGAGAGCTGTTGGTTTACAGGATAACACCCTGACTTGTGGGCAGGACGTTAAAGACTTTCCACGATCTGGCTCCGTCCTGCCTTTGCAACCTCACTTATTTACCACTATCTTCTAAGTACCCCTAGGTTCCAGCCTAACTACCTACTTACTGATTTATGCACATATTCTGGACTTTTCTGCCTCTGACATTGTACACACCGTTCCTCTACCTGGAACACACGTCCCCACCCTCTTTGTCCACCAGTTCTGGTTGTTAGTGGGTCAGGGCTAGCTTCTTAGCACGAGAGCCTGTGGATGGAGAGCCTCATTCAGACCTAACTTCACAGTGTGTTTATGGATATATTCTGCACATTAGCTTTCTATACAATTACCTACAGGATCTGTTTGTCTGTCTTCCTTAATTAGAATTCTTGGAGGGTGAAGGACCCAATTTTCCCTCTGGTTTGTATTCTTAGCATCTTAGGGATAAGTGTCCTGCTATCAACTTTATAAATACTAGCTAACAATTTCTAGCCACATCTATGGGCTTTTACGATTCTGTGTAGATTAATCTGAGTATTTAGTGCCTGCTGTGAACATAACATTTGGCAGTTTGGGGAGGGGGGGTAAGGAGGTGGGACCTGCACTGTGGTTAGAGACACAGGACTTACAGCCAAGAAGCAATCTAACAAGACACAAAAGGCATGTACAGTAGTCAGAGGGCAAACCGGGTGCTCTGGGACTTCAGGGAAGGGGGCTGCACATGCATAGGCGGCTGGTGTAATCAGAGAAGGCTTCTGGGAGGAGGTAGGGACTTGACCAGGGCCTTGTTAAATAGGGAAGATTTCGTTGGGAGGTCAGCAAGGCAGGGATTTCAGGTCAGCGAATAAACATGAGCCAAGGCAGAGAATCAGAAATGAGCACAGCATGTTCACGGCCTAATGAGACTGTGACCACAGTGAATGTGAATGGTGTGAAATGAGAGGGCTGAAAACTAGTCAGAGGAGTTTAGACTGGACATGGAAGGAAAGGGGAACTCATAACTTGGTTAGGGGAGTGACTTGGTGTTTTCTGAACACAAGATGGATTATTTGTGGGAGGGGGAATGGAGATGGGGCATCAAATTAATGATCCAGAGGTGTAAGGTGGTAAGGCTCTGTACTGGGCTATCAGCAAGGCTTTTTGAAATACATGCAGGGTAACCATGTGTAAAATTACAGCTCAGTGCCTTCAAATGGCAGTGTTTTATACATAATGGCATGGGGATTAAGACCACACGACAGTGGATTAGTGATATACTTGAGTTTTACCACATTTGGCTGACTAGAGCTGAAGTATTCTAGTCTTATGTTTATTGTCTCAGCCGTTAAGTAGTTGTGTGTGGTTTTGGCCAAGTTACTTAACCCCTCATTTCCTTAGTTCTGTCATCTATAAAACAAAGGTATTACTAGTACCTGTCTTACAGACTTGTTAAATGTCTACACATAGGAAGTCTTTAAAAAGATTAGCTACTTATTTATTCAATGATGTTTAAATACCCAATGTACCAAAGCTTCCAGAGCCATGGAGCTGAATGAGGGCCCTTAGAAAGCTTGCTGGAGACATTACAAAGATGGGACTCATTCAGAAGCTGGGACAGAAAACTTTAAAAACTCCAGTTCCATGAACTCATTCAGATCTAAAAGGCAAAATCTTTTTTTAAAAGGTTTTTAAAAGGAGATCTGAGTCACAATTTTAATCATGTCATTTATCAGCTTAAAAACTTTCACTGATTTCCACAGCAGAAAGGATGGATAAGCCTTCTTTAACTGGGTCTGAGTCGATCTTTCCAGCCTCCTTCCTGCCCACAGCCCAGGGAGGCTGCGGCTCAACCACAGTGTACTCCTGCTTATTCTCAACCTAATGCAGCATTTCACGCCCATCTCCTGTCTGCTTTTCCCCAAAAACTTGTTCCTCTTACTCCCATTTCTACCCTATAAAATCAGTCACTCTTTTTTTTTATTATTGTACTTTAGATGGAGGTTTACAAAACAAATAGATTCTCATCAGTTAGGACACATATTGTTTTATGACAATGGTTAACAACCCCACAACATGTCAACACTGTCCCTTCTCAACCTTGGGTTCCCTATTACCAGCTTTCCTCTCCCCTCCTGCCTTCTAGTCCTTGTCCCTGGACTGTTGTGCCCCATTAGTCTAGTTTTGTTTTATGGGCCTGTCTAACCTTTGGCTGAATGGTGAACCTCTGGAGTGACTTCATTACAGAGCTAAAAGGGACATACTCTCGGGGTTTCTCCAGTCTCTGTCAGGCCAGTAAGTCTGGTCTCTTTCTGTGAGTTAGAATTTTGTTCTACATTTTTTCCAGCTCTGTCCGGGACCCTCTATTGTGATACCTGTCAGAGTAGTCAGTGGTGGTAGCCGGGCACCATCTAGTTGTGCTGGACTCAGTCTGGTGGAGGTCGTGGTAGTTGTGGTCCATTAGTCCTTTGGTAAAATTAGTCACTCTTTAAGAAGCAATTAAAATGTCTCTTCTGTGAGAACTTCTCAGATACCCCCAATTATAATTAATCCCTTCGATGCATGCATAGTACTTTCTTCACACCTGTTATAGCTCCTATATTCTGCACGGTATTAGAGACATAGACACACTTTTCTTTTTCCACTACATCTTATATCCTTGAGGGAGGAGCTATGCCATAGATTTGTCCTGACAACACCTAGCCCAGACCCTTGTTCTTAACAGGTGCCTTATGAATGTTGGCTGAACCGAATTGAATTGTAAGCAAACATCAGGTGGGATTTTGTAGAAAAGGTCTCAAGAGCAGGGCTTTAGACCTGGACTCCTGAAAGTGACAAGTATACTTGTGATTTAGATATGTGCTTCAGGCCTGAGGAGTCCTTGGAATTCTTTGAAGGGAACCTTCTTCTATCCTTTCAGCTGTTGGCTCAGAAGCAAGTCTTAGATGAGGTGGCCCCAGCCAGCTTTATGTTATTACTAGACCACAGGCTACTCCTCTGCTGCTTCTCTCCGAAAACAAAAGGAAAAAAAAAGGAAAGGACAAATAGCTTGGTTGCCTCTATCTTTCCAGTTTGGACACCCCTCTCAGGAAGGCTGTCTGGTCCCCACTGCCAGGTGCCCCCCAACAACTGTGGGTGCCCTCAGTTGTTCCCCAACAACTGAGGACGCCCAGTGTGCCTTTTTAGCCAAAGAACACCTTCTCATTAACACTTTTATTTTCTTAATTCACGCTGAGCGTTTTTGCTTTAAAAACAGTTCTCAAACGTTCTAAAACGTTGTAGGAACATGTAGATCGAAACAAAAGCAAATAAATTGAATCCTGTAAAGTAACAAAGCAGACGCCCTTCTATGACAGACAGCACAAAGCTAAATGAAAATATTAGTCATCCTCTAGATACAGTATTTTTCCTTTTAGAAAGGAGCTGGCGTTCGCAACCCCCCACCCCCAAATATAAAAGACAATGAAGGTAGCAGAAAACTATTCTCCACAGCTCCCGGAGAGGAGTCAGCAGTTTCAGCAGCACTACCTATTTCTATAAGCAACGCAAGTGGTTTGAAAGATCTTGGTTTTTACTTTCTCCTACCTGCCTCCAAACACACGTGTAGAACGAGCGAGCAAGCGAGCTATCCTCTCCCACCCCTCCCCCCAACAGCCTTTGAGCATTAGAGTCCGGCGGCGCCAAATCCCGCGCAGGGCTGCGGAGGAGGGGGTGCACTCTGGAAACCCGATTAAATCCAAAGATGCGGCTACCTGGGCCGAGGAGTGCTCTCCGGAGAGCCGGGCTCCCCCATCCCTTCAAGTAGAAAGAGCCAGTGGAAAAAGGGGGCGCCTGCCCGGCTCCGGAGTTGTAGGAGAGCCTGGTAGAGCCCCGCGAGGGGCGCGCGTCGACACCTGTGCTCCCAGGGGCGGGGCGTCCTCCAGGTGTGCCGAGGGAGAGGAAGATACTGAGAGCCTAGCGAAGCTAGCCGGGGAGCCCGAGTCCCCTTCCCCCGCCCCGAAGAAATGCTGGGGGAGGAGCGGTTAATCCGCACCTCGCCGCCGGGGGATCCACAAGCCCAGCCCGCCTCCTTTGGGGGAATGCGGGGAGGGGGGAGCAAACCCTGCGGCGCGTAGGGGGTTAACCCGGCGGCCCGCGGCCGGAGGGCGCTTAACCCTTTGGCGCCCTCAGGTCAGCCAGGACAGGCAGGGGTGGCAGAACCCCGAGTCCCACGTAGCGGCCACCCCGACCGCACGGGACGTGCGGGAAGAGCCCCCGGCCGGTCGCCGACAACTGGGGCGCGGCGCAGCCGTGGGAGG